CTCTGGCCACAAACCTTGGAGTCCTCTGCCTTCTTTTTCTCACATGCCACATTCAATCTGTCAGGAATTTGTGTTAGTTCTTACTTCAAAATTTATCCAGAGCCTGACCACCTTCACTGCTACCACCCTGATTTGAGTCACCATCATCTCTCTTTTGGATTATTGCAGTAGTCACCTACCTGGTCCCCATTTCCATATTTGTTCCCCTCCTATCTGTTCTCAACGTAGCAGCCAGAGTGATCCCTTTAAGCCATTGCTTTGCTCAAATCCTCCAGTGGTTCTCCATCTCAAAGTAAAAGCCTTATGATGATCTTCAAAGCCCTACATATCTTACTACTCTTCCCCTCTTTTGCTCTCATCAGCCACACTGGCCTTTTTGCTATAACATGAACACACTAGGCATACTGAAGGCTCAGAGTCCTTGCACTTGTTTCTCTGTCTGAAATTCTCTTACCTTGGATATCCACATGCCTCACCGCTTCACCTCCTTCAGACCTTTCATGTTATCCTACTTAAAATGGCAATCCTGTCCCCAACTTTGCATCCACTTTCCTACTTCAGTTTTCACCAAAGCTGATACACTACATATTTTAGTTTATTGTCTATATCCTACCACTACATTTGTATTCATTAGAATTTTTTATAGTATGTTCACTGCTGTTTCCCAGAGCCTAGAACAATTCCTGTGTTGGAAGAAGTACAACCAGAATGCTCCTTAGAAGCAAGGATGGCAAGACTATGTCTTATATGCTTTGGACATGTTGTTAGGAGGGATCAGTCCCTGGAGAAGGACATCATGCTTGGTAAAGTAGAGGGTCAGCGAGAAAGAGGAAGACCCTTAATGAGATGGATTGACACAGTGGCTGCAACAATGGGCTCAAGCATAACGATTGTGAGCATGGTGCAGGACTGGGCAGTGTTTCGTTCTGTGGTACATAGGGTCGCCATGAGTCGGAACTGACTCAATGGCATCTAACAACAACAGAACCATTTCTGGGCATATAGCTGGAGCTCATGAATGAACTGGAGAAGAGTAAGGCAATGAGATGGGGTCACTCTGAGTTGAAATTGACTTGATGACATCTAACAACAACAAGGCAATGACACATCCAGTATGACACCTAATGTTTAGCTTGAGAAACTGGATGGATGGTGGTGTATTTGCTGAGATAAGAAAGCTTGGAAGAGGACTGGGGTTCAGGACTGGGGAGATAAGAGTTCTAGTTTGGATATGTTGAGATGTTCACTAGACATCAAACCGATATATTATTAGTATGCAGTTGGCTATGCAAGTCTGGAATTCTGGAGGCACTCTGAGTCTGACTTGGGAGGCCATCAGCCTTTAAGTGGTATTTAAGTCATGGAACCAGATGAGATCATGTAGTTAGAGCATAGATAAAGAAGAGGATGAGGTCTAGGACCAAGCCTTAAAGATCACATAGAGGAAAACGAACATCAAAAACGACAGTAAAGGAGCAAGCAGTGAGGCTGGAGGAAAGCTAGGAGAATAAGGTATCACTGAAGCCAAAAGCAGTGTTTAGGAAGGTGGCACTGGATGATGTCAAAGGCTGCTTAAAGGCCAACTACAAAGAGGGATGTGATCAGAGGCTTGTCAGGTACAATCTCAGTGGAGTGAGAGGACATAAGCTGACTGAAGAAGTCTGAGGAGAGAGTGGAAGGTGAAGTGAAGACATCAGCTATAGTCACTCTTTCCAGAAGTTCTACTGTGAAGGGAGAAGAAAAACAGATGGTCATACCCTACACTCTATCATTACTGATAACTGTTCCACTCACAAGCATCTCACTCATTCTCTAGCCACTCTTTTCTCTTCAGCTCACTTTCTCCAGAACCAGCACTTCAACAAATCTTCAGCCTTATCAGGATCTGGAATCCACTTAGTATCCATCACTCATGTCCTCATTTCTTTTCTTACCCTGTTTAAGTTTAGTGGACCATCACCACGATTGCTGCCAATTCTGTCCTCTCCCTCCATCATTTGGGTAAATCTTAACCCTGGTTAAAGCAACTCTTAGCTTATTTTATCTCTGCATCTGAGGAGCTCAACATGGCTGAAGAAAACATAACTATGCTGACAGGTTTGTTTTAAATTTATGAGCGTTAAGTCTCAAATGGGCCTTCAGGAATGCCCTGCAATCTCCCACATTTCCCAGGTGAGTTGACTTTCCTACTCTTCAAGATGCTTATTTCACACCTTACTCTCTGCCAACAATCTTGCTTTTTTCTAGTTCACTAATAAAAACAATAGAGACCACCACATCCTCCCACTATGTGATCTACTAACCCACTGACATCTATGCCCACATACTCTGCCTTGTTGCAAGGCCAATTCTTCCATTTGTGCACTGATTGTGTCATCAATTTCCCATTTCTGTGGGATTATCATAACACCTAAACACATGCACACACAGACACAAAAGTTGCAGTATCTCCCATCCTAAAAAACGTACCTTCCTAGACTTCAAATTCCCACCAGCTATTAACCCATTTCCCTGCCCCCACTTTTAGTAGTTCCAGAGTGCTCTATATTTGGTCTCTCCATGCCCTCACCTTTTATTGTCTCTTGAACTTTCCCACTTTCTTACTCTCAAGGCTACTCATGACTTCCAAGTTATCAAACCTTAGGACTAGGTCTCAGTCATCCTATTACTTGACTTCCCACAGCACTTGACCCAGTTCATCATGCTCCATGCGCTTGTCTTCTGGAACATCATACTTTTTGTTTTCCTCCTACCTCATTAGTCAGTCCTCAGTTTCCTTTGCTTCCTCTTACTCCACACCCCTAAATACAATAGTGACCAGCCGTCAGTCCTTGGGCTTCTTCTCTATCTACATTTACTTCTAGATGGTCTCATATAGTCCCATGGCTTTACATGCCATCCATATATTGGGGACTCTCAGACTTTTAGCTCCAGGCTTTGACCTTTTACCTGATTTTCAAATCCGCAAATCTAACAGCATACTTAATATCTTCTCTTGGAATATCTAATAGTCATCTCTAACTTAACATGACCTACGCTGAACTCGATTCCCAACTCTGTTCACCCAAACACACATACACTCCTCAACAAATCTTCTCCCTCTGCAGATGCCTTAAGACAAAAACTTGATACATTTGTGATTCCTTGCCATCCCGTATACCCCACATTCAAACTATCAGCAAGTCCTGTTAGCTCTGTTAACAAACCCTATCACGAATCTGACCTTTCCACCCATACCATTCTAAGTAGAAGCCACGACTTTCATCAAGACCATAACAAGCTCCTGTCCTCTACAGTCTATCTTCCATACAGCAGTTAATCTTTTTTAAAATGCCATTCCTCAGCTCAAAAATTTTTAAAGGCTCCCCATTACATTTCAAATACCAAAAAAAAAAAAAGAAAAAAAAATGCCATCGAGTCGGTTTGGACTCATAGAGACCCTATAGGACAGAGTAGAACTATCCCATAGGGTTTCCAAGGCTGTAAATCTTTACAGAAACAGACTACCAAGTCCTTCTCCCGCAGAGCGGCTGGTGGTTTTGAACCGCTGATCTTTCGATTAGCAGCCAAGCGCTTAACCACTACACCACCAAGTCTGCTTCACATTTCAAATAAAATATAAAATTCTCACTAGCCCCCTCCCTACCCAAGCCTCCAACCTCATCTCCATTCACACACTTAACCTTGCTCTCACCATACTGGCCTTTCTGTGAACACATTTTATTTGCAGTTCTCCACATGGTTCCCTCCCTGACTTCATTCCAGTTTCTGATTGTCACCTCTTTAGAAAGATGTCATCTACATGAAACGGACCCCACCCGCTCAGTCATTCTTTTGCCGTTTTTTTCGTTAGCACTTCTACTACTTGAAAGTACATGCTCACAGGCTTTTCTCCCCCATTAAAATGTTAGCTCTATGAGCAGGAGCCTTCATCCACTCCAAACACAGCACCTATCAGTGTGTGACACATTGCAGCTACTCCATCAATTGGTTAAATTACAGAAGTTATCTTAAAGGGAAGGCGGATTGAAGGAAGGTCTTCTAATTAAGGTAAAATACTAGAGCATATTTTTATGCTGATGGGAATAACCCTGTAGAGAGTATTTATTAATGCAGGAGAGGAAAATGCAGAAGGCAGAATATGTAGTTCTAAATACAGGCATACTGGTAGATTTTGAAAAATGGAAATCAGATCTGAGATGGTTATCTTCATTAGTTCTCTGAATGTAACATTACCCTTGAAATCCTTCCTTGCACACAGGGCGGCCATAATTATGTTCTGAAAAGACACCCCCACCTTACCCTTTCCATGAAATTGACCGAAGTTCTATCTATACTGAATTTCGTGATACATCAAAGCTTCACAATAAAAATAGGTCTTTTGTGCATAGCTAAAACATGAAAACCCCAGAATGATAGTTAAAATAATAGCACATTTTTAAAAAAATCACTGTAAATTAAGAATGGCATTTTCATTAGTGCCTCTTTCTTTTTCAGGAACTATGTGAAAAACAACATTCGTTTTATGAGTCATCACCAAGAGGAGTTAGTGCCAAAACAGCTTCAAAAAAGAGTCCCAAGAGCAGCTGATGGAGTGTAAAAGGCTGTGTGGTAAGGGCCAACCAAAGCTGCTTTCTCCAGAGATCGAATGGCCTCAAAATCTTACGAATGTCAGTGTGGTAGAACACCTCACAGGGTGTCTTTGTGCCATTACATATTTGTTACTCCCATCTTTTCTCTTCAGTGTCATGGAGCTAGTTTTAAAAAGACACCCTGAAATTACAGACAACCTTTAATCACCACCCCCACCCTCCCACAAAAAGAACCTCAAAAGGTAGAGGAGGCACAAGGTCACATAGTTTCTTATTCTTAGCAAGATGTTGTTGTTGCTGCCTCCAGTCAATTCTGACTCACAGCAACCCTGCAGGACAGAGTAGAACTGCCCCATAAGGGCACAGGGGTTTCCAAGGCTGTAATCTTTACGGAAGCAGATTGCCAGGTCTTTTCTCCCACAGAACGGCTGGTGGGTTTGAGCTTCCAACCTTTTTTGTTAACAGCCCAACGCTTTAACCACTGCGCCATCAGGGCTCCTTTTTCTGAGCAGGATACCACGTACAAATATAGCGGCTGGTTGAATGCTCCCCACCTTTTTTCAGAGTAGCCTTTGAAAGACTATGTCCTAGTAATGAGATCAACCTTTGCCTTAAGATATGTATAGATGCCAGTTACAGCTTTATTATTCAGATAACTAAGTGGTCTGAACACTTACACTTTCTGTCTACTAAGACACTACTTGCACCGGATCTTTTATAAAAAAAAGAACCAGGACACAATGTGGACAATTTAATTGCACAAGTGTTCTAGATTAGGATAGGGTCCTGGCTAGGATTTTAGTGCTAATTCCTAGTTATAATTCAACAAGTACAAAGATTATACTGCTTATTTTAAGAATTATGAATATAATTTAATGCAAAATATCTTAGTTTTATTAATTTCATGTTAGTATTAAAAAATATTAAAAGAAATAGTTCTGCAACCATTGAGAAAATAAGCATTTTTTTCCCCATCTATTTTCTTATGTGAATAGAACAATTTCAAAATCATGGGACCATATTTATTTAAAAGTAGCCATTAGTAAAACATTAGAAAGAGGTCAGGCTGTTAGGTTATTTATCCAAATCTCTAATTAGGTTTGAGTTAAATCAAGTTTATATAATTCTCTCCTTGTAAGGCTTTCATGAAAACTTAATAGCAATCCAGAGTTTCCTGCAATTATCAGCACTCCTCAGGAATATCACTACCTCAGGTTATGGCAGACTGGCTATAACTGATGTTGCCTCTCAGATGACTGCGGATATAATAAATGACATTCAGACATCAAGCCAATCCCCTCACTACTGTTCTCTGTAGTGAAACATAGAGACCACAAACCATACCAGAAACTTAGGTTTTCATTTTCACAACAATGGATTACTATCTTCTGTATTTCTCCGGTTGAATTTTAAGACTTGGCAAAGTATTTTACCAACAGAACTTGGTTATGATGATAAGACAATCCACAATGAAGAGTCTCAAACCACTTAAGCAGTAACCCATTAAATTACTAATATTATGAGCTATGGAAGACACACAAAAAAATTTAAAGCATGAGCGATTAACCTGAAGAAAAAAGAATCAATCTTATGAGCCAAAAACCTTTAAAGAAAAAGAGGAAGACTTTTATTTGGCTTGGACTTTTCCTTATTGGTAATAAGGAACAAACTGTCCCAGTTTGATATAAAGGTATATGATCCACTACATTCCATGGTAACAAAGTAGAAATATTACAAATCTATGTAAGCAACAGTGAAACTGTATTATCTGAGTCTCAGAAGACTGACTAAAAGTTCTGGTTTTGAAATGGACTATCTTAATTAAAATTGGCAGAGGAAATTATGCATAAAGGAAGTTTGAGATCTTAAATAATTCTATCACGGTACATTTCATATGCAAGTTAGAGGATGCACTGTTTTTGTTTGTTTTGGTAGGAGAAGGGAAACTGTTCTATAGAGGTCAATTAAAGAGATTTATCATCAATCTTCAGTAGAATTATATGCTGAGATTAAAAAAAAAATCAAGACGTAATCAAATTTTTTTCTTTGCCTAGCATCACAGATTTTAAGATATTTAACAAATTAGATGTTTCCTTTGAAGTTCAAATGCTATATATATTTTAGCTATTTCTTGATTTAGCCATTCATTAATGAATGTAAATGGGCAGGAAATTGTAAACATAATTGGTTTGTTCCCAGTGATTTCAACTTTAGTATCTTAAATGTTCTTAAATTTTTCTGAGTCTGTAACTAAACAAATTCTGTCTTCAAACTGATGTTTTCACCCAATACCCTCCTAAATCAGAGCTTTTAGGTTTTCAAAAATAAAAAGGGGGAATCCTTATGATTTGTATGTATATATTCACATTTTTTATTTATAAAAAAATTTACAGCACTTGTGGAAAGCCAGCAAAAGACATCACACTCGATCACTTCTTACCACCTTTGTTAGATCTAGTAGCTTACCCAGGGACACTCTGCCAGGTGATGCTCACTCAGCCGCCCTGAAACTGAACCTGGTCAGACTGTTTGTCCTCTCTTTTCAGATAAAGCATTTTGATGAGATACTACCCAGTTTCAAGTCACTCGAATACTGAAAATGTTAAAACATCTAGGTATGGACCTCAGAAATACAATGCTTTATTTTCTCTTTCCTCTTTTTTTTTTGAGTGAATGCTGCAAAGCAGGAGTTCACTTGCTACTGTTGATTAGAATTGAGTGGATAATAACAGATTTTTAAAACAGCCAGTCCAGAATCTGTAACTTTTCCATCTAATTCTATTCTCTGTATTATATGAGATTAGCTATCCTACTGGATTTTAAAGTAAGATAAATAAACGCAATGGGAAAAAAGAGAAAGACAATTAAAGTCTGAAAAATCACAAGTCTTTTAAAAGAAAGAAAATAAAAGTCTGCCTTTGATTCCCACTTTTGAGGACGTAAGAGGCAGGGGCGGGGAAGGCAATGAGAAGATAAAAAATAAACATAAAATAATATGTATTGTTCAGTGCAATGCTTAAACTAAATTTTCAAGATTTTATAATAAGGTAAGGAAACTACACTAAATATGGAGGTTAAGATGTTATAATTTTTCGCAAAGGTTTCAAAACATTTTGGTAATTCAGGTTTTGGTGGAAGGTTATGTTAGAGTATTGTCTCTATTAAGTTTCTACTGAGAAGCTAATTCAACTCTCCACTCAGCCTTATTTCCAGGTAAAATCACTGTTGGTTTTACTATGACGGAGCGCAGCTGCAGCTTGAGCGTGTACTACCATTCCAGGCTCATGGATGAGCCAGAAAGAAACTGCTTCACAAATGCATATTTACTATAACATTAAGAGTAGTAATCCCACTTTTTATACTGTACTGAATAGTCACTCTTTAGTTCCATTAAATAAGACACAGCAAGGGGAAAGACATCTCGCAAAATGGCTTTCAAGTTCAAGTCGAACTATATTATAATTATACCGTGGCACAGAGGCAGCTTGTGGGCACTTCTTGTTAGAACAGCACAATGTTATCAGCTTCTGACAAGACTCTTAATATAGCCTTGAGCACTAACCAAAGTTTAATGAGTCAAGAACCTCAGTCACTTTCCTATAACTATAGTTGAGTCTTTCCAGAATAACAAAGGTACATATGAGGTACAACCCATCAGTTTCTTCCTCATATCCGTCTTGTGGGTAGAAGGTTTTTCTTATTAAAAACTACAATTTTCTTAACTTTCAAAAGTTATTTAACATTTTCTATCATATTAAATTAGCAACATAAAACATTATGCTTTACCTATAAAGTTCTACTCCGGTTCCCTCAACTTTATATACATGTTTGCATTTCTAATCTGCAAGAAACAAATTCTTATTTGATATTTGGTAACAGAGCATTAAAGAGATACTACACAGATGGCATATATACATATATACAAAATACACTTCAAAAAGAAGCCAACACACTTTAGCAAAAGTCTAAGCTTGCATAGTTTAAAAAAAAAAATTATGAATACAATCTTTGTTAAAATAGAAAATGGGGAATGAAAGTTCTAGAATGGATATGAAGAGAGATCATTTCCAAACTTTTATTTGTGCATGTTCAATTGAAAAAGATAACTTTTACAGGTTCTTTGGTGCCCATGTTCAGCATACAAAAATGTAAAAGACTATTCACAAATAAAACGCATTAGCTCAAACTGGAAAAAAAATAACAATGACAAAATAAAACAATTTAAGGTAGTGCACACTGTGACAGCTCTGCTTATGGGGACATGAGAATTACTGCGAAAATAAATAGAATGTCCTTTTGTAAAAGCAGCAATGTCATGTCTTGTAAACTTCCTTTTTATATTACAGCAAGGTTTGAAATAAAATCCAAAGGGACTGAAGCTTACACTGCAGCCATGAATGAATAAAAGAGTCTATTTCCTCAGTTACTGTTGGTCCAGTTTTCCTTTTGAGTCCAATGTGCAGCAGGTTTTAAAAGGTGCTCGGTTAGGGATTCTAACCAATTAAGTGATGAATTATAAAATTTCTTTCCTGCTTTCAAACACAAATGGGTAAATCTGTTCCACAGCAGTAGCAACAGCCTTTACATTGGGCCCTGCAACAAACAGAAAAAGCAATGAGAAGAGGAAAAAACAGCACTAGGAAAACTGATCTCCCAGAATTAAAAATACTCAAGTAGTTTAGAATAGCAGGTTAATTTTTTTTTTAAATCTACACTTACATAATTATACAGATAATAATAATAAGAACCAAGAGAATAAATTTTTTTTTTCCTGCACTAAAGAAGATCTAGAACACAAAATGACATTATTTAACTCATTTTAGGTCACCAGTGTGAAAACAGAGTACAGTAAAACCTGCAAAAGCTAGAATGTGTGTAAGGTGGAAATTTGTCAGAGAAGGAAAACTCAAATATTTTCCACTAATATGAGTGACAGAAAAGTGGGAAGAGTGCACCCTGTCAAAGGAGGAAAACTAGCGAGACTCGGAAAAACAAGGCAGTCCCGTCAAGTTCCAGATCTCACAAGTTTCACTGTATATAAGAAATTGCACACAAACTATCACAGATAAAAGTAATAAGCTGTATAATATGCTTATGAAAGGAAAGAACGGCAAATGAGACTAGGCAATTACTATCCTTTTCGTCACTGGAGTCTGGCTTTTTGTTAGGCTAAGGGTGAAGACCACCAGGGTACCTAGGAACCTAGCAGAGTGAAACAAAGCTGCTGCCACAATGCTGGGAAATCAGAAAGGGGTCTAAAACTCTCACAGATTTACTACCACTACTATAAACATATGGATGTAACTAATATGTTTATAGTTATGTTTATAACTATGTGTATAACTAACGTTTATAACTAATTTGGCCATCGCACCCTCACAGTTTACCCACGGGGGAATAAAAGTATCAAAGAGTGAGGTAATGCTACATATGAATTAATCTACGTAACACTAGAAATAATTTTTAAAAAATGTAATCCTGCATTTAAATAGCTAAAAAGAAACATTTTTTAAAAGGGGCAATGAAAAACTTTCCATGAAATTTATTTTGTGTAAAAATGGTTTCATTAACACACACTTAGTTCTCGTGAAAGATCCTGAAAACTTACATATCCAGTCATTGCGAGCTTTTGGAAGGTACTGACCACACCTTATCTTGGTCTGCCCCTTGCTGACTCACCTCACCCCCTCACACACAAACAGCATAATACTTTGCCAGTGGGAACTACTCAGTATGTGCTCATTGAATTCTTAACATTTCATAACATATTACAAATGTAAACAAATATATAATGCATACTCATTAACCAGGTCAATTGTCTTCAGTTTGTTATTGTTTTAATTATTCTATTAACTCAATAAAAGTAGATTTTACACATGCATCACATTTCATTCTACACTTACAAGGGACCTATGGATAGACTTTGCGTCCTTCCAGAAGTGGAGGCTCCAAAGTGTAGAAACAAACAGTTGAAAACCAAACCTGCTGCCGTCGAGTTGATTCTGACTCATAGCAACCCTATAGGACAGAGTAGAACTGCCTCACAGGGTTTCCTAGGAGCGGAAATCGAACTGCCGATCTTCTGATTAGCAGCCAAGCTCTTAACCACTAAGCCATCAGGATTCCAGGGAGTTGAAAGAGGTGAGCAAATTGACTTTCCCCCACCCACCACCCCATTTTTAAGATTCAGGTAGGACCCACGGCAATAGCCTTAAAAGTCCCCCAAGGAAAATGTGAAAACCCAAGGAATGAGTTAAAACTAAAGCTTATTTTAAGGGCTTACAGGTGTTGATTAATAACTTTTATTCTCCTGTAGGGATTAAAAGAAGAAAAAGTAAAATTCAAGGACCCTAAAGAAATTTCCCTCAACTCAAATTCTGACTACAGTTGGGCCTGACTCTGAAGCAATGCTGTACCATTTATTACCATGGTGCCTTTAAAAAAATCACTCTACATGCTAATGCTACTCTTTACATCTATGCCTGGTCTTCTAAAACTTCTAAATACTTAAACTTAAAACTTCTAAATACTTAAAGACTCAAAAGACATTATAAAATACATATGTAACAAATAGGTATCAATTATATTTGAATACTTTGCTTAAGTAAACCTCTATGAAATTGATAAAATGAGTTTATCTTGGATATTTTAAATACAAGATATAATAAAAAAAAAAAAAATCATACTATGGAACTACTACTAGAATACTCTTAATAGATCCAAACTGGAAACTACCAAATGCCCATGGACAGTATATTCACACACTGGATACTATACAACAATGAGAATGAATGATCATCAACTTCATAGAAGAAAGATGAATTTCACTAAGGTAATTATGAGTGAAAGAAGACATACACAAAATACTAGTATATATAAGATTTACAAATAGTATAAAAGCAGGTAAAACTAATCTACAGTGTTAAAAGTCAGGAGACTGGTTCCCTTTGAAGGGCAGAGGAAGTAAATGAGGAGGACAAATTAAACATCATTTCTATTTTGGTATAGGTATCTCTTACGAAATTCAATCCATAACTGACAAGCTTGGTTTCCACATCATAAAATACCTGTTACTGTGATACTTCCTGTTGAAAAAATCTGTAATGTAGCTCTTAGGGATTTTATTCGATAGCACACTGCAGGATGAAGTTCAGGTTCATAACTATACCAGAAAACAAAACAGATACCCACAATTAATATAAATATTTACAGCCAGAGAAGTAACTTCAAATATGTTATTTTGATTCTTCAAAGACCTACCTGGCATGAGGTCTATTGTTCTTTGTGAATTCTGGCAAACGGATTTCAAATGGCATGTTACACACTGCCAAAACGTTCACAACTTTAAAATCTGTAAATATTACCTTTAGGAGAGAAATAAAACTCAATGAATTATTCTGAAACAGAAAATCTGCTCATCAGGGCAATCCTTAATAATCAACTTTCAATCCTTAAGAAAACAAGATAAAACAAAAACAGCTGAAGTTTAATATTACAAGTTATCAGTAACTCCTTAATGCTATGACTGAATTAAAGAAAAGAGCTCAAAAACTTTATTAAAACAAACACAAAACCTGCGATATTTGCATGATTAAAATAGTACACTTGGAGTCTGTTGACGTTAGTTTAGTATTTTAATAGTTTAAATGGGATACTTAAGAGAACTGGGACACAAGAGACTAGAGGGAAAAAAATTAAAGACCTCCTCTTTAAGAGCCAAAAATAGAGAAGTTGTCCCTTTAAAAAGTCAGTAAATGGAGTGTACATTGAGCTTATACACAATAAGGTAAAATGACATTTCTGTGAGTTTAGTTAGATGTTTGTTTTTGGGGAGTGTTTTTAATTAACTGGGATTTCTCTCAACACTTCAAATGTTATTCTAAGAAAACAAGCTCCAAGGTTGAAAATAATGTTCTCTCAGTATTAATGTCAGTGATTCCTATTAATATCTTAAATTGTCTCATCTCATTGTCTTTCCAAGCACTCCTAGTAAAACCACAATTCTGGATGAGCTAACTAGGCTCCAACTCAGTTCCTGCTCAAGGTAGCTATAGAAAGTTAAAAACTGCAAAGTGGCCTCACCATCAATTCACGGTTACACCTCAACAGGGCTCTCTCTACACTGCCCTTCTCCCCAAGCACCAACACCCCCCTGCTTCCCACCAGCATTTCAACTACCTCCTATCACCTTCCACTTTAGAGAAGACTGAAGTCATCAAGCGGAAACACTGAACTTTCCATCACTATTTCTACAAATTTACCCAAATCCAAAACAGTGTAGGCCCACCACTTCAGGGACCATGTCTCATCTTTAATTTACTCACCATTTGCAAGTGTCTTAGGAAGTCCATAATACGTAATAATTTTATTCAAATATAAGCATCTACAGATTCATACTTGGTAAGGTTAACAATGGTCACTTTACAAGTGTGAGAGCCTGCCAACCAGTATGGACATGTCAACCATGTTCTGCAACTCTCTACTCATCATCTTGATGTGTATCACTCTTGAGAAGATAAAAAACATGGCTTTGAGTGAGAAGTGAAAATAATCAAAGAGTGGAAACGGCAATTAGTTTACAAGGAAACAAGTGTCTCCATGGGCAAGGAATTTGGGAAAAAGTCAGGACCCAGTGCAAATACACCTACATGGGCAAATTTTGGGACTAGAAAAGTACCACTAACACTGTAGGATAGTATGAAACCAAAGAAAAAGTTCAATCATAGGAAGAATTTTTATGGTGATTTTTTAAAATCAAATTAAATTAAAATTTTGAATTTTACAAAAATAAATCCTTAAATATTTGCAATTTGGATATTTTTTTAAAATTTTACCTGAAAACCTAGTTTCTGCAGACTGCGGGCTAGACGTCTGGCACCAAATTTAGCTTCTTCTTCACTATGGTTTTAAGGAAAGAAAAAGATCATCAGTTACAAGAAAAATAAATTTTATACTGAGGAAACATGATAAACTTAATAGTATGATTTTGTTTTTAAGTCTAGGAAAAAAGTCCCTTTTGTGAGAGGAATTTTAAAGAAATTAAAAATTCAAGGAACATGTACCTTGTTGCTCCAGTGCAAATAATTTTTCCTGAGGACCAAATTGTAGCTGTAATTCTAGGTTTTCTAAGCTTCATTAATACTTTCTACAACAACAACAACAACAAAAAATCAGATTACATGATAAGCATTAATTTTCATGTATGATTCTATATTATGTGGCCATCTTAATGTCAAAATACTATTCCAAGCTTATCCAAGACTGAAATAACTGATCTTCAAATCACCCATTCAGAAATCAAATATAATACTTAATACAAAGAATATATTAAGCCAAAAGGACATTTAATTAATTAAAAATACAAGGTCTACACAAATCTCTCACTATATACTTTAAACCAATGTACTATGTGCACACAAACAGTACAACTCTCATTCCACTCCAGTCAAATGACCAGATTTTACATGGGTCTTCAAACATGCCAAATATGTTCACAACTCAGCTTTCCAGTAGCTGTTACCTTCACCTGGAATACTCTTCCCTCAACATTCTCAGTTCAGTCAGGTTTCTCACCAAATGTCACCTCCACAGAAACACCTTTCCTGGCCATTCCATCCAAAATACCCATCCCTTCATTGCTCTATTAAGTCCTTGCCCTTCTTTATTCTGCTTCATCCCTACTTTATAGTGTATCTTACAGATGAGATGCCTACCACCTACTCAAGTTCAATATGCAAATCTCAAGCACAGGAGAAACACTGGAGCAGGAGATGTAATTTGAGAGTCCTCAGATATGAAAGGTATTTAAAAATATGGGCCTGAATGAAATTACCTACACAGTGAGTATAAACAGGTCAAGAACTGAGCTCCAAGATAATGTATGAATTTAAATTTTCACTGCAACTTTTCATTTCTGGAAATATTTCTTATATGTTCATTATGTGTGAGAGAAAGAGAAATGTTTACTCAGTAAATGTAATTCATAAATGAATCAGACATTTCTTCTTAAAACTTCTATTATATTTTGAGTTCCTCTCTCTCTGCCATATACCATATTATCTCTTATTATCTAGAAAGCTATATAATCCAGGAAAACTCAAAATTTACCAAAGATCAAAAAGGCGTTCGAACTAAAATACATCATAAAGTTTCATACCAAGTGACTGAGAAATACTGAACTGAGTTTATTCTACATTTAATTGTCTTTCATCACCGGCTTGTCCATCAACTCAGATTTTTCAATTAACTTTCCCTGAAAAAAAAACTACTTCTCTCCCATATGGCAGACTAAAGTACCAAAGCAGTGTGGGCAATCTTCTCTCTCAACTTTTTAGTCAGATGTATTTATTCCTTTGTTTAAGTAAAGATGGTATTATTGATGAACTTGAAAATCTTTAATTTGGGTTCACTAAAAACTTTAGCTGAATTTAATTCCTCTTTACTTGGTTTCTAGGACTAAGAGATAGTGTCAATTTATCCTATGTTTATTGGAAGTAATTTTTACAGCTTAAATAAAGTCTTCACATGCATTCTTATTTAATTTTTGTAATAAATGTGTAAGATATATATGTCATCATTCTTTGGTTTATAAAAGCTAAATAAACAATCAATGTCATTATAATGTTAATCTCACAATGCTAAGGTAAGAAGTAAGGTATCGCTTTTTATTTTAAAATATATAGGTTTAACAAAAACTAAACATTTAAATGTTCAGGTTAAGATATGAACATTGATTTTTAGCAATTTGTTACTAAAGAAAACCAATTATCTTGGCTTAACTAAAGAGGAGTATGAAAATTAATATACTACAAAAATTACAATATATCTTAAGACACCATTCAAGTACAATTACATTTGAATCAGTATAAAAATATAAATGTTCCTTTCTTCAGTTAAAAGAAATTGAGAGAACAATAAAATGTCTATGTAACCAATGAGTTTTTTAAGACTCAGGGATAGTGTCTCTAAATGCTGAGAGGGGCCTCTTCTACAGCACACACTGCTATATCCAGTACGAGTAAGCGTGTGGTAAGGTGCCCAGAAACTATCTGCAGAGTGAATACATTTTATAGTAGCATTCATAGCACTATAAAATTAGGCTATGTAATACACATACCAAAATTCAGGTACTTACTCCAACATCACGCTTATAAATTACATTTGCTCCCTCCAAAGCAATCTTCCTTAAGTTCAAATGGCATCTTGTTCTAAAAACACAGACTACATTTGTAATTAAAATGTCCAAAGCAACATCACTGTCTGCATCCATTGGGATAGTTTAAAAACTTAGCTTCCCACCACGAAGATCACATCCTGAGAAATGAAACAAAAGTAATTAAAATTAGATGTTCTGTTAATTTATTTTTCACAAATAATCTTGAAAATTAAGATGCAAGAAATGAATCTGTATTATATATTTTTCATTGCTACTCAAATCAAATCACGTCCCTCTTCTTCCCCACTAAACATGTCATTTTTTTTTTTAAAGATAGCATGTCATATAATGTCCTTCTAAATCTGGGCCTATCTTTCCTTCTTTAAAATCAGCTACTTTTACATGCTAGACACTTTCCAGACTCATCTCTTGCTACTTGCCTTTACAACCACTATGTATGTTCCAGGCATACCACAGCTACAGGGATTCTCAAACATATGTTCAAGGGCTGGACCTCTGCTTTAATTACCCTTGTGGTCCCAATGAGCAACCATTAATGTTATTATAGCCCACCTCATACAACTTGCTGGGGCTATAAAAAGTATGATCTGTTTTCTCCTATGCCAAACAGAGTAATTAGCTGAATTTTAAAGAAGCAGAAATACTGATTTTAACATATAATCAACAGACTTTTCCAACTTACTAACGATTCATTCATTATTCACTTACTGAACACCTTCTGTATAGAGACACTGGAGAAAAAAATGAGTACAGCCCAGTGTGCGTGGGGAGCTCTAACAAAGAGTTAGCACAATATTGTTTTTATCAAGATCAGAATCTTCCAATGTACATATTAGGAGGAAAAAAAAAAACCCTAAGAGTATTTTTGTAAATAAAAAAACAAACCCTGGTTTTTAATATGCACATCACCCATATCCAGCTAAAATATGCTCTCTTTGACTGGGTTTCCACATCTTAAAAAATAAATAACGGTAATTCAGCTTATCTGACCCACAAAAATAAAATCATGAAATAGTAACAACACTATTATAACCATCTTTTAAGGTTCCTTGCAGCCACAAAGACTAAAAACTAGTATTCTTTCTAAGGATTCAAATTATATGACTAAAACAATGAAGATGTCAAGAGTCCAAATAAAGAATATTCACTCATGTTTTTCTGGATCTTAGTTTCTGATATTATGTTCATTCTGAACATAATGGCAAGTTAGACCAAGACTTCTAACACCACTATAGGACCATGTAGCTTTCAATTCTGTGTATTAATTGTACCCCAACTGCATTATATTTTCTCACTCTGATATTCCTGTATACCCCATTTATCTTTTTGTTTTTCTATCCTGTGTGTATGTTTCCATTACCTCAAATCATTTAACTGTACAAGGGGTAGGCAAGGGTGGCAGTGGGGCCTGATGGATAGACACAGAGGTAAACAGATTCATATGCAGAGGCACAGAAACAGTTATTAATACTGATCTTGAGTGGTAGACCCAAAGTCTAATTCACCACTTACTAGCTATAATAACTTAGGCAAGTTATATAACCTATCTATGTCTCATCTGTATCAAAGAATAGATAGTGCTTACCATAGAGTGGTGTACAAGGATTATATAAAATAATGTATGAAAAGTACTTAGCATATATGTCTGGGAAATAATAACCCAATAAGTGACACTGATTATCGATAAAATAAGTTCAAATCAACAGGCAGAACAGAGGCTTCGTAATATCACTTCCCATCACTATACCCCAGATACTGAGCCTTCTGGACACACAACCAGGTTTTCTGCTATTTTTCTATAAAAACTGTGAAACAATCATGAGGTAGAAGCTCTTAGTTGCTTACCCCAACATCTATTCCATCCTTCCTTCACTATTAACAGAACCTAGATGTATAGCTGGGCAGACTGTGGCAGAAATAAAATACTCTATTTTTAACTTCCCTGACAACAGGTGTGGCCAGGAGGTCACATGACCATGTTCTGGTGAGTCAAATGTAAAACAAAATGGCCAAGTGTCTTTTGTGAGGTCTGTTTAGAAGGACTGAACTAAGCCCACAAGGACCCCTTCTAACCTTTCTGTCCATTTTTCTGCCTGGAGTTTGGACATGAAAGCTGGAGCTAAACTAGCCATTTTGGATCATGAGACTATGAGATAAGGATGATACAACAGCAAGACAGAAGAAGCCTAGGCCTCCGATACCATAAATCTCCTTATGATTCCTGCACTTAACTCCAAAACCAGAATAAAAAAAACAAATCCACTGCCATCAAGTCGATTCCAACTCATAGTGACCCTCCAGACTTCATAAATATAAAAGAAAAGCCAATCTCTATCTTGTTTAAGCCCCTCTTAATGCTGCATTTTTGTTACATGCAGCCAAACCCAATCCTAACTGAAACATGTCCCTTTAGAGTAAACAACAAAAAGGAATTATTTAAGGAGAAACTGTATAAAGAAACTATGCCAAATTTAGTGTTTCATAAGAGTTTTCCCACTGAACAGACTAAAACTTGTTGATTGAGACTTACTACTTGGTTGTCCTAAACTAATGTATTGCCTGAGGGGAGAATACAAGGAAATACAGGTAAAAACAAGTCAAGAAAGAAGGGGTAAAGTAAATCTTTGTGAATGCAAAGAAACCTTGAAGTTAATTCAAAATTGACAATTGTTTCTATGCCTCAGCAAGTTAAATTTTAAAAATGAGGGCATGGGAATAGTTCATCATAAGTTACTAAGTGTTCATATTTTAGATTAGTAACCTGGCAAGCAGCCTCAGAAAATATTACTCTTACTAGTTTTTCAATCAAGGATACAATATGAAAAGTCAGTACTTTTTTAAAAAGGGCATCCTACATGAAAACCTTGAGAACAGCAGCAGAACATTGTTGAGAAAATGAGCCCCTCAGGCTGGAAAGCACTCAAAATATGACTGGGTAAGAGCTGCCTCCTCAAAGTAGAGTCAACCTTAATGACATGGATGGAGTCAAGTTTTCGGGACCTTCATTTGCTGATGTGGCACGACTCAAGATGAGAAGAAACAGTTGCAAACATCCGTTAATAATCGGAATGTGGAATGTACAAAGTATGAATCTAGAAAAATTGGAAGTCATCAAAAATGAAATGGAATGCATAAGCATCGACATCCTAGGCACCAGTGAGCTGAAATGGACTCATATTGGCCATTTTGAATTAGGTGATCATATATATGGTCTACTATGCCGGGAATGACAAATCAAAGAGGAATGGTGTCACATTCATTGTCAAAAAGGACATTTCAAGTACTATTCTGAAGTATAATGCTGTCAGTGATAGGATAATATCCACACACCTACAAGGAAGACCAGTTAATATGACTGTTAAACGAAGCTGGAGATTGCATGATAGAATTTTTCAAGACCAATGACTTCTTCATTGTAAATACCTTTTTTCAACAATATAACATAAACAGCAACTATACATGTAGACCTCACCAGGCGGAATACACAGGAATCAAATCAACTACATCTGTGGAAAGAGACGATGGAAAAGCTCAATATTATAAGTCAGAACAAGGCCAGGGGCCGACTATGGAACAGATCATCAATTGCTCATATGCAAGCTCAAGGTGAAGTCGAAAAAAATTAGAACAAGTCCATGACAGCCAAAGTATAACTTTGAGTACAGCCCACCTGAATTTAGAGACCATCTCAAAAACAGATCTGATGCACTGAACACTAATGACCAAAGACCAGACGAGTTGTGGAATGACATCAAGTACATCATACATGAAGAAAGCAAGAGGTCATTAAAAAGACAGGAAAGAAAGAAAAGACTAAAATGGATGTCAGTAGACTCTGAAAGTTGCTCTTAAACATCGAGTAGCTAAAGCAAAAGGAAGAAATGATGAAGTAAAAGAGCTGAACAGAAGATTTCAAAGGGCAGCATGAGAAGACAAAGTATTATAATGACATATGTAAAAACCTAGAAATAGAAAACCAAAAGGGAAGAACACGCTCAGCATTCTCATGCTGAAAGAACTGAAGAAAAAATTCAAGCCTCAAGTTGCAATACTGAAGGGTTCTACCAGGAAAATACTAAAGAATTTCATTTTACTTGGATCCACAGTTAACGCCCATGGAAGCCACAGTCAAGAAATCAAACAACACATTGCATTGGGCAAATCTGCTGCAAAAGACCTCTTTAAAGTGTTTAAAAAAAAAGCAACAATGTCACTTTACGGTTTAAGGTGCGCCTGACCCAAGCCTTAGCGTTTTCAATCGCCTTGTATGCATGTGAAAGCTAGACAATGAATAAGACTGAAGAAGAATGGACTGCCAGAAGAACGAACAAATCTATCCTGGAGCAAGTACAGCTAGAATGCTCTTAGAAACAAGGATGGCAAGACTTCATCTCACATACTTTGGACATGTTATCAGAAGGGACCAGTCCCTGAAGAAGGACATCATGCTTGGTAAAGTAGAGGGTCAGCGAAAAAGAGGAAGACCCTCAAGGAGATGGAACCCTGGTGGCACAGTGGTTAATTGTTCAGCTGCTAACTAAAAGGTCAGCAGTTCAAATCCACCAGCCGCTCCTTGGAAACCCTATGGGGCAGTTCTATTCTGTCCTACAGGGTTGCTATGAGTCAGAATCGACTCAATGGCAACAGGTTTTTTTTTTTTTCTCAAGGAGACGGATTGACACAGTGGCTGCAACAACGGGCTCAAGCATTGAGAGGATGGCGCAGGACCAGGCAGTGTTTCATTCTGTTGTACAGAGGGTAGCTGTGAGTCGGAACCAACTCGACAGCATCTAACAACATGAAAGACTTCATAGTTTTGAAGCGGTATGAAAAGAGACTCATTTGCAAATCAGTTTATCTATCTTGTAGAACAGGAGAGTAGTACTGGATTTTAACAAAGAGTCATTTCTTAAAGCTATTCGTGTTGTATCCCTTTTAAATACAACTAGAAAGACAATCCAGTGAAATAAATCCAAACTGATTTCTACAAAGCATCTGAAGGTCTATGGTATCTCCTTTAGTCTTAAGTGTGGTTAAATAATTTTATTAACGAGTAAAAAAGGTCTGAGTAAAGTTTATTCTCAGTTTTAAAGCGGAATTGATTGACCCTAAGAGAAGTTCAAAAGATTTAGGTTATCACTAAAAATACACACACAACTTTATTTAGGGGAAAAAAAATTGCTGTAAGATAAAACCAAAAACCAAACCTGCTGCCACTGAGTCGATTCCGACTCATAGCGACCCTCTGTACAGGAGAATGAAACACTGCCTGGTTGGAATCGACTCGATGGCAACCCTGCAGGACAGAGTAGAAGTGCCCCATAGGGTATCCAAGGAGTGGCTGGTGGATTCGAACTGCCAACCTTTTCGTTAGCAGCCAAGCTGTTAACCACTAAGCAACCAGGGCTCCATAAGAAAGATGGTAGGAACTAATTTCCAGTAGGGCTAAAATATTCCAAATTGTTTACCACTCTTATGGTATCATACTAATATAAACATTTGGATATCTACTTCCCCTACTAAATTCTGAGTTTCTTGAGGTCAAAGACTGTCTTGAAAGTTTACATTCTCCCATGGCCTAGTACCAAACCTGGCACATAGTAGGTATTAAATTATTATTTGATGAATGAATGCTATATGATCCAATATTTCAACCTCCAATCTGTATTAAACTTCTCATCTACCCACAATTCTAAATTATTTCTTTTAATACTAGGTATGGGAAAAAAAAGTTATTATTAGCAAGCCTGAAACTTTCTTTCCAAAGCTACCTATTGTCATATGAACGTAAAAGAGCCAACAGTCTTTTTCTTCCCTACAAGCCTCTTAACACAGTATCCATGAAAATGCTACGCAGCATACTTTACCACATCTCATGCTGGTTTATACTTAAGGCAAATATTAGTTTTACTGTCTTACTGGTTTGTATAGCTCCAAGGGGAGTGTATTTAAGGAACTCCAAGATAACAAAATATATGAAAAGTGATAATATTTAAAGTCAAAAAGCTGTTAAACCTGCCAAACGTAGCACTAAAGAATGAAATTCTCAAGATACACAGAAGGGGCAGAAAGTAATACAGTGAGTATCTACTGACCCGCCACCCAGCTGAATATGTTACTATTGGTGCCTCCCCATGCACTTCTCCCAAATGACACCCTCATATATTTCTCTTAACCCTTTCATGAACCAATTCTTTTCTGGTTTGTATTTTTTTGTTGATGTCATGTGCATTATGCGTGTCTGAATTTTTGGTGGGTAGTATGGATTTTTGTTGCTGTGGTGGTTGTTGCCCCTCCCACAAGCCTACTCTAAGTGTTTAATGTTAGGTACGAAATACCACTAATTATACCACAGAGTCCCCACTGTGGTCTACTGGTACATATGTGTAACAAATAAAAATTTTCAAAATTTCTATTTTTCCTACCCAAAATCCAGACATCTCATATTAAAACAGTAACTTCCGACACACGCCTGTTTCTTCAGTTTCAAACAACGTAAAGGCCCCTGCCTTGTGGCAGCACGCACTGTCAGCGGTGCAGCAGCTTCCGAGTAAACCTTCAGAGGCAGAAAACGTATTTGGTCCCTAGAGGTAACCTTAATCATGAAAGGGTTAAAACTTGTTACATATATAATTACATCCCTTTATTCAATTAAGCCATGATTTAAAATACATTGATGAATTTAGTTTGTTAATATTTCATTTAGAATTTATGCATATATGTTCACAAATAAAATTAGCCTATAGCTTTCCTTTTTTGTACCGTCCTTATCTGGTTTGGGTACCCAGGTTATACTAGACTCATTAGACGAATTGGGGAGATTTCTTTCTCTCTCTCCTTCTCTTTGCTGGAAGATAGTTTAGAATACCTTATCTGAAAATTGTCTAGATCTGTTTTCTTGCTTATTTGCTTATTTGGTAGACTTTTTGAAAGACCAATTCAATCATTCTTAAGACAACTGATGTCTTCTATTTCTTCTTGGGTCAGTTTTGGCAAAATAAATTTTCCATTTCTGCCAAAATGTTAACAATTATTCTATTCAGACAGCATTAAAGTGATTTTTCTTTTTGATTTCTTTCTTCTAGCTTTTTGTAGAGTCTGGATTTTTTTTTTTTTAAACAACAACATACATTAGGTTTACTATAGAAAAACGGTTATTTCTAAATTAAGTTATATTTTTATCTAAATTTAAATATCAATAATCTACCCACTGCCAAGGCCTAATATTAAGACATGGCCTGGCTGGATGTTTTGTCGTGTTTCTGAAGTAAACACCTAGTATGAATTTAATTTGCCACTTTTCTTTCTAATAAAAAGCCAAGTTCAAAACTTCAGCTGTCCTATCTTCAAGAAATGCCACTATTTCTAGCTTTCTATTAAAATGCATCATAAAAGTTGAAGCAGCCTCTTCCTAGTTCAGTGATTTTATGGACAAGAACGCCACATTATCTATCTGTTGGGTCCTTTGACTTTTTAGTAGTATTCACAAACATTACACATTTCAGCAACTACCACAAACTGCAACCTTAAATTATCACTTAGAAAACACTGCCACCTCCAGGCTTTTATAACAAATTGCATGAAAGACTACTACATTTTACATTTTCTGCACCAGGAGAAATATTTAAACTGAAACGTCACAATAACACAGTCAAAAGAGCAAAGCAAAAATAATGTTGAAGCCTGAAAAAAAAAAAAAAGGAATAAACCTAAAGGTGAGAAGGTATTCAAGTTGCATGTGAGGATATTGTGGCAGGGACCTCAAAGGTTTAACCACAAAATTACCATCCACAATTGGAGACACGGCAGAGACTCAAGAACTGGAAGTAGACGAATTTGCAAACAACACGAACCCATATGGTCTCCGAGGGATCACTCTTCTCTAAGAAAAAGACATGCCAGTCACTATCCTCATATTCTTTAAAAAGCTTTAAAACAGCAGATCAGGAAGTAAGACATTTTTTGTCCTGATTCCAACACATTTCTTGATAATCCTTCAATACACATCTGTGACCATGATGGGGAAAAGCGAGCATCTTGTATTTTAGAAAGACAAGGGTGCTCTTTCACATGTTTAACAGTACAGCAAAAACCTTACAAAAGGGGGCTCTGACCTAGTGTTTACATTTAGCTATGTGACACTGAGTAAGTTACTAAACCTATCATTAAGTTTTAAATTTCTCTTTTGTAAACTGGTGATAATATCACCTGCACCTCCCAGGGTTCTTTTAAGGATTAAATATGATTGATAATCTATGTCAAGTACATAGCACACAACATGTGCTCATTTTGCTATGAGTCGAAAATGGACCGAACAACTGTTATATGGATTCACATGTGGTTGAATATAGCAACCAAATAATATTATTTAATGAATTGATGAAAAACTTGAAAACAGTCACAGTAACAGATGGAAAAAACCAAGATAATAATAGGCTAGGCAGGGGTCAGCAAACCTACATCCAGTGGGTCAGCCGCCTGTTTTGTGAAAAACAGTTTTACTGTAATACATCTGTCTTAGTCATCTAGTGCTGCTCTAACAGAAATACCACAAGTGGATGGCTTTAACAAAGAGAAATTTATTCTCTCACAGTCCAGTAGGCTACAAGTCCAAATTCAGGGCACCAGCTCCAGGGGAAGGCCCTCTCTCAGCTCTGAAGGAAGGTCCGTGTCATCAATCTTCCCTTGGTTCAAGAGCTTCTCTGCACAGGAACCTCAGGTCCAAAGGACACGCTCTGCTCGGCACTGCTTTCTTGGTGGTATGAGGTTCCCATGTGTCTCTGCTCACTTCTCTCTTTTGTATCTCAAAACAGACTGGATTAAGACACTATTCAATCTTGCAGACCTCATCAGTATAACTTCATCAGTGATAGAGTTTACAACACATAAGCAAATCACATATAACCTCATCATAGCAATAAGAGTTTACACATAAGGAAATCAAATCAGATTACACAGTCATACAATACTGGAAATCGTGATCCAGTCAAGCCGACAGACATTTTTGGAGGACACAACTCAATCCACGACAATATCCAAGTTCATGCATTTACATATTTATGCGATGATTATGCAAACATATTGAATGGGTATAACAGAGACTGTACAATCTGCAAGCCCATCTGTACCTTTAAGAATTTAACACTCACTGAACAAAGAACTACCGTCTGATCCGGCAATCCCAATCCTAGGTATATACCTAGAAGAAGTAAAGGCAGGAATGCAAACAGAAACCTCTACACTAATATCCATTGCAGCACTCTTCACAACAGCCAACAGGTAGAAACAATCAAATGTCCATCAACAGATGAATGGATAAACAAAATGTGGCATATACACACAATGGAATATTACTCAGCCATAAAGAGAAATGAAGTTCTGATGCATGTCATAACATGGATGAACCTTGAAAACATCATGTTAAGCAAAATAACTCAGCTGCAAAAGGACAAATACTACTGTATGTTCTCACTTACATGAAATAAGCAAATATATACAAACCAAAGATTATTAGTGGTTACCAGGAGTGGGCGGGAAGCGGACAGGGCAAGTTTTTGCTTAGGGGGCATTAAGTTTATGCTAACGGTGGTGGAATCGACTTGACAGCGCATAACAACATAAACATTAATTTTAACTAAAGTATTATTGTGACTAACAAGAAAAAAAGGTGTTTCTTACATAACACAACTTTATATTTGAGGATTCAAACTCAAAAGTGGGAAGTCTGGCACACTGATTGTAAAAGCAAAATTCATTCTGGATAGATTTCTTAATATTTCAAATAAATGGTGTTATTCCATGATTAAAAAAAAATAGTGTGTCTTTTTTGATTACATAAGAAACACTCCAAGAAAAAAAAAAGTCACCCATAATCCTACTAGTGATAATCACTATCAAGATTTTAGTAAATATTATGCCAGTTTTTGTTTTTTCTGTTTGTTTATTTTCTTTTGTTTTCCCTATGTTCATGTATAGACAGGTTTTTAGGCTGCTTAATCCATATATGTATAAAATATTAAATACGACTGGGATTATACGTGTATGCTGTCCATTCTAGTCAATCACAGATTTTATAAAAATATTTGCCAACCTGAGAAATACAAACAGCAGTGCTGAATTAATTGATTTTCTATGAATACTAATAAGAATGAACTTTTCAAATATTACTAACCATTTATATTTCTTCCTGTCTCATATCCTTTGTTCGTTTTCCTTCTGAGATTTCTTACTGATTTATAAAAACTCTTATAGAAAGAATATTAACCCTTTGCCTGCTTATGCTATTACTTCTGCTTAAAATGTTCTATCCCCACTTCTACATCCAACAAGCTCACTCCTACTTGTTCTATAGCTCAGCATCACCTTCATTCAATCAATTCCATAATAATGCACCGGAACGCTTACCAAGTATTAGGCCCCATGCTAGGGGCCTAGAACAAGCTCTGGTAGAGGCAACATGTGTGTTCTCAGCTCTGAGGTGTGTTAAGCTTATGAACTGTTCACAACTGAAGGAGGGCCAGCATGGTAAGAGTGAAAAGGAAAGTAGCATAAGACCAGGTGAAGAGGCAGGAAGGTGTCAAATCATGCTAAGCCTTCTAGGGCATGTTAAGGTTTTTCACATTTACCCCAAGAGCAATGGTGGGCTAAAAAAGATTTTAAAGGAAGAAATGACACGATGTATTTGCATTTTTAAAATATATCACCACCACTTCTGCAGCGGGAGAATGGATTGGAAGATAAAATGGTAAAATGGGCAAGAAACCCAGTCAGGCCTAGCGTAGCAGTCCTGTGTGAGACGGCAGCAGCATGGACTAGAGCACTGGTGCTGGATGGAGACAGAAAGAAGCGGGCAGAAGAGGGACATTTTTAGGAGCCAGAGTGAACAGAGTTTGGTGACTGAATGTGGGGATGAGGACAAAGGAAATGGAGGATGACTCCAAGTTTAAGACTCAAGATATTTAGTGAGACAGGAAACACTGGAGGGAGAGCAGGTTTCCAAGTGAGATGGGGTAAGGGGGAAGGAGAGAGACGTGGGAGAGGAGGCAATTGAAGGATTCAGTTTTGGACATGTTGAACTGAAGGAACTTGTGAGCCATTCAAGAAGAGATACAGAGCAGATAATTAGATAAAAGTCATAGCTCAGGACAGATTTAGGACTAGATTGGAGATGAAAATTTAGAAACTCTTGTTTCTATACCCTAGAAGGGTACAAAAGGTAATTAAAACCATCACGGGTGAAATGAGAAATCTATGGAACCAAGAAAACAGAACTCCCAAGACTAAGCCAGAGTGTCCCTATTCTCAGTTCCATTACCATGCTACTATGTATATCCCTATCACAGCATTTTTCTACGCCTGTACTATAGTGAAATTTATATATGTCCCCTTGATAGACAACATTTATATATGTCTCCTTGGCAGACAATAAACTCCTCAGAAGCATGATCAAATCTTATTTATTTTTTGTACCCCAGCCTTAGCACAGTTCCCAAGGCACTATACGTATTCAATGTCTGTGGAGCTTAACTGTTAACTCGAGATTTTTTTTTTTTTTAATTGTACTTCAGGTGAAGATTTACAGAACAAATAAATTTCTCATGAAACAGTAGTACACATATTGTTCTACGACATTGGTTAACATTAACTCGAGATTTTTAAAAAGGAATTCATTTTCTCTCTCCCACTCTCTTACACATACACATGCACATACACACACACACGTGCACACCACACACTTTATAAACTAAAACAGTCAGACTCTGGAGCAGACTACTTGAGTTAAAACCAGACTCTACCACTTGGCAGCTGTGTGACCTTGGGTGAGTAACTTAACACCTTTATACCTCAGTGTTCTCATCTGTAAAAAATAGCAGATAACAGTACCTATTGCAGTATGTTGTGAAAATTCATATAAAACACTCAGCACAGTACTTGGCACATGGTAAGCATTCAAATTTAGCTATTCTCATTGTTACTATTACTATCTCCTTTACTCATCTTTCATGGATAGAAAAATGTTCAAAAATGGAAAGGACTTCTAGTTATTCACCGTGGTCCTCAAACTTTGGAACACAAAAAACAGATGATGTTTCTTCAAGTCTAAAAGCAAGGGGTAAAAATAAAGAATACAATTCTGATGGATCTGGTAAACAAAATTAGCAAAACTATGAGTTGGAATCGACTCATGGCAACAGGTAATTCTGAGTAAATTTTTAAAAATCCCCAACAATAACAAAACCATTTCAAATCAAAACAAAGTCTTCTTTGTTCTTATTGATTGTGCTGTTTTACTCTTTTTGGGGGAGGAGGAGGAAGGAGCACAGGAAGAGACAAAGAGAAAGAAAGCATCTAAGCCTCTTAAACCAAAATCAGTTGCTATCAAGTCAACTACGACTCATGACCATCCGTCTGTGTCAGAGCAGAACTAGAACTATGCTCCATAAGGTTTTCAATGGCTGATTTTTTGGAAGTAGATAGCCAGGTCTTTCTTCGAAGGTGCTTCTGGGTGGACTGGAACCACTAATCTTTTGATTAGCAGCCCAATGTATTAACCCTTTGCACTACCTAGGGATTGCCCAAGTCTATTACATACTATAAAAGAGATACTTTGCTAAATTTATTTAACTAGGTAGCTGCAAAAACAGGATAATTAAAAGTACCATAGATTTGGATGCCAAGTTATAACAAAAGTTTATATGTCATTTCAATTAAATTATAAGGC